GGTGGGTTTTGGACCTTTTTTAGAAAAAGCAATTCAAGTAGAAGAGAAAAAGTTTTTGTTTGAAGAGCTTGTCACGGGGCCCGATCTAGAGAGATGTCCTGGGGCCCGGCCTGGCTCTCGGCGGCCCTGGTGATGATCTACAACCTATTAAGGAAGTAACCAATGTGGATTTATAAATTGTTAAATGTGTTAGATTTGGAAAACGTAACAAAAATGGGGCCTGTCCTCTTAGAGTTACTTTTCGCAATCAGGATGATTCGTTGTTAGTCCTTAAAAATAAGAAGAATTTGAATATTTATTGATATGGACATGACACCATTGCAATTGGCTAACTGCAAAAAAGTCAATAATGAATATGCCAGTAGGAAAAATAAAGGTGAAGAGGTTTTTATTAAATATGTTAGAGGTGTACAATAAGTAGCTCTAAAATCAAAACACTAAATGTAGACGATCTGATTTGATTTTGCTTGTCGAGACGTGGCTTCATAGTGGTATATCTGATGCTGAACTCGGTTTACGGGACTATGTGATTTTCAGATGTGATCGAAATGTGAATACTAGTGAATTTAGTCGGGGAGGTGGTGTTCTTTAAGCAATAAAAAATAAGTTTAAGGAGAGGTTTATATCAACTAATTTTATTAATATAGAGCAGCTTTTTACAGAGGTTCTTATAGGTCGACAGTCTATTGCAGTGGTCGCCAACCTGTCGATCGCGAGCTACCGGTAGCTCGCGGAGGCAATTCTGGTAGCTCTCACAACGATTTTAATTTAAAAAATACAAACTGCAAAAATCAGAGAAGCTTCCGAAAATTCCACAAAAAACTCTAATTGTCATAATATTAAACATAAACAGCGGCAACGTTGCGGTGAGCGATCTGCCGCTGACGCCATCAAGTTAGAATCGGCTGGAACCGACCAGCCGGACCAGCGCGTTAGTGTTCGAGAACGATCAGGATTGCTTTGAACGGGATAAATACGCACGGCGCGGCGACATTGCGCATAGTTTAAAACTGAACGCGTAACCAACGTCCAGCGGTTGGGTTAGTAGAGAACAACAAAAAATAATATTATGGCAAGCAGTTGTAAGAAGGTAAAGACCTACCACTTTCATTCGGAATGGGAAGAACAATACTTTTTTACAGAAGTTAAAGATAAAAATGTGTGTTTGTTATGTAATACTTCGGTCTCCGTTGCTAAAAAAGGAAATATTGAGAGACATCATAAAACTGTACATTTTAATTTTGAAAAATCATTCCCACTACATTCTGCCGCCAGAAAGGACAAACTGAAACAGTTAAAAAAGCAGTTAATTGGACAACAATCAATATAATAAGGCTGCAACTGAAGCATCGTACCGTGTGTCCCAGATAATTGCACAAAAAAAGAAACCATATGAAGACAGGGAAATGATAAAACAGGCGTTTTTAGAAGCTGCTGATTCGTTATTTGCCAACTTTAGAAATAAAGACGAGATAATTTCAGCTATAAAATCTATGCAACTTTCTGCTAATACAGTGATGAGACGTGTAGAAGTAATGAGCAATGATATTTTTTTACAAAGAACTGACTTAGATAACTGTGTTTATTTTTCACTTCAACTGGATGAATCAACAGATGTCGTTGACACTGCCCAGATGGCTGTGTTCGTCAGGATGGTTTTTAGTGATTTTACGATTAAAGAAGTTTATTTCACTGAAAGGACACTGGACAGGAGTTGTTTTCTCATTTAAAAAATATTATTTCTTCCGAGAAAATTTCAATATCTAAAATAGTAGGCTTGACAACCGATGGCGCTCCAGCTATGGTGGGTTGTGATAAGGATCTGGTGGTGTTATGTCGTAAAGATGAAACTTTTCCGCAATATCTCTGTTACCACTGCATTATCCATCAGCAAGCATTATGTGGAAATTTCCTGAAACTAAACAACGTTATGGTGGTAAAAATTGTGAACAAGATTAGAGCTCAAGCGTTACAAAGAAGATTATTCAAAACTGTCAATACGGGGACCTACTCCTTCACTCTGAAGTCCGATGGTTAAGTAGAGGACGGGTGCTGAAACGTTTTAATGATGTCCTATCTGGCATAGTTCAATTTTTCAAACAACGCGGTGAACCGACTCCGGAACTAGAAAATTCAATCTGGCTTAGAGATTTTGGTTTTCTCGTGGACATTGCAGAGAAATTAAACGAACTTAATTTGCAACTTCAGGAGAGAGACAAAGAACTAACAGAAATGATTTCTGATATAAAAGCATTTATCAAAAAGCTGGAGTTTTGGGAACAAAACCTAATTAACAGTGATGCCAAGCATTTTCCTATTCTTTCAGAAAAAATATCTCAAAATCCATTAGAACCCTATGACAGCAAATATCATGTAGAAATAGTTTCTACCCTGAAGAATAACTTCAAAAATCGTTTTAAGGATTTCAACGAAATGGCTTTAGTAGCGCAGTTTGTTGTTTCACCCTTTATGGAAATTGATATCCAACAGTTTGCAACTTGTGTTATGCAGAACTTTGGCGCAGACATCGCTGCAACAGAAATAGAAGTAATTGAGTTTCAAAATGATTTAGCCTTAAAATCGTTAGTCTAAAGTACCAAATGTATCTGGCTTATTATAAGTAAAGACAAATATTCAGTTCTATGCCGTGTTGCCTTGAAAATGAAAGCATTGTTCAGTTCGACCTATTTGTGTGAATCTTCTTTTTCCAATATGAAGTTTATTAAGAACAAATATCGCAATCGACTTACAGATGAACATTTGGATAATTGTATTCGAATGGCTGTATCAAATTATACTGCAAACATTAAAAAAATTATCGATGAGTCTGAGTGTCAGCCTTCTCATTGAACGTGCTTTTTTATTTTTCAATGTTTATGTTCATGATAGTGCGTTACTTTTTTGTTGTTATTATTAACTATTTTTAAATCTTACGTGACATGCCCTTGTGGCTGGATAAAAGTTTGTGTTTATTTTTCAAACACCTTCGTTTGGTAGGTAGGAATGTAGCTATGAACAAGTACGTACTAGTAATATTAGTTATTAGTTTATTATTAGTACCTATGTATTATGTATTACCAGTTAAATAGTAAAATAAATACATATAATGATAAATTAACTGTGGATTATTTCATTTACGTTGCGTTACGTAGCTTCCGTGTGGGTAGCTCGCTGTTTATTCCAAAATTAACAGAGTAGCTCAACACATTGAGAGGTTGGCGACCACTGGCCTAGAAGATCTGACAGAGCTAAGTAGTCAAAACAAAGTGATCTTATAGTATGCGCCTGGGACTATCAAGGCAATGGAAGGTCCAACAGACTAGCCCGAGAAGGCTCAAATGAGGCCATGACAAGCCCCGAGACCTTTTGTCACTAAGGTATTGTGCAAGGCATCCATCCAACAAAGGATGCAAGAAGAGTGCATCAGGAACGGTGGAATAACTATCCAGTCAAGTTTACGAAAGACTTATTGGATTGAAAACAACAAATCTTTAGGATAATAGTAGGTCTTCTTACCGAACACTGTTGCCTAAGAAGGCACAAATATCAATTTAGCAGAAGAAGCAACATTGTACAAATGCTGTGAAGAAGAAAAGGAAACATGAATCAATGTTCTGTACCAGTGTGAAAGCCTGTCTAGACTGAGGTTT